ACAAATATTCTCTTCCATAAAGCCAAGACTGCAGGAATTCTGAGCTTATCTTTTCTGTGACCTCCTAATGTAACCCACTAAACCTCTTTCCTATCACACTAGCAAATCTCACATAAAAATGTTACAGAGACTTAATACTGTAACATAATGCCGGTACTAATTAAACATCCTAATTACATCTTATGCAAGGTAACAGACAAAAAAGAAAGTTGATGGGAAATTGCACATCTTTTCAAAAGCATAGTAAGAAAATGGAGGGAATCAGGAGGGAAGGATCAAGAGTGACCCCGAAGGCAAGCTATGACTGACCACTTGTGCTCAAGGCAGATACGACTTTCTCAAGAGGGACAGAGCCAGTCAGATCTTATGGCAGATGGTGACAGGCAGACCTTTTGGCACCTGGCCCAGAGATTTTCCTGCTCAATATGCACGCAAAAAATGGTAGTGCTTCACTGAGAAAGGCTTTATAGCAGCCACAAACACCGACAGATAAGTTCCTTTCCTCGCAAATGCTGTTTTTTCCAGCCAGGGCACAAGGAAGGAGGTCCAAGACCTCAATGGGTTTATTTCCAATGAATCTTGATAGCAGCCAAGTCTGAATGGGCATTTAGTGGCATGGAGGGCACCGGAGAACCTGCAACCCTCTAACCAGAATAAAAAGAATTTACTGTGTTTCTTCTTTGTTATCTATGTCACTTCTCAACATATGTTCCAGGTAACAACATACCAATCACGACATACAAAAAAGCAAAACAAAATAGCACAGCAATACAGGGAAGACACTCAGACAAGGACTCAGTTCTTTCTGCAGTTCAAGAGCTGATTGCCTTGCCCAGATGAGCAACACAAACTCATTTGGAAAGATAGTTTCCAAAATACCAATGAAAATGATTGTGTTCCAACAACGGTGCTTCACAACTCCACTTTTCAGGGTTCACTGAGCCCCAATAGAGACAACAATAGCTTGCTTTACAAGACCATAACTGAATCATGATTTATTCCCAGTGTCCTTTTGTAGCAAACACTAAATAAAAAGTAAGCACAACACGGTAAGCTAAGTGGGGCTGGATAGTTTATTCATTACATTTATAAACTGCTGCAATCCTGAAGGACTCTAGACAGTTGTGGTTGTACACAGCACTGCTTGAGACTGAGTTAGAATAGAAAACTTTGTTGGTGCCAGAAACAGCATTTAAATTCACAACGATCTGATCACGATCCCCAAGAAAGGAGACCAAATAGGTCTCAGTCCACTTCTTGTATCCTTCAGGCGAGGTGGCCCTATCCACCATACCCAGAACCTTACCCTTTGGGGAAGCAGGATAAATAAATAGAGCTTGAGGGAGGTGGGGAACGGAAGCTCTGCTCCCCCATCCCCTGGCCCAGGAAGCCAGCTGTCCGCAGATCCTGTCTGCACAAATATCTGCCACAACCCCACGACCCTCGCAAGCCGCACGACCGCAGCCTTCCTCCTGGAAACTCCCCAGGCTGAATTGACCCACCTCACCGACTTCGCCAACAGCCGGTGCCGCTTAATGTCTTCCTCGCTGAAGGAGAAATGCATGTCCACCTCGGCGGCACGTTGGTGAGCCGGCGGGAGCCCGAGGAACCGAGGCGGCGCGAAGGCCTTGGCTGGCATGAAAGAGCACGAGGGAGCAGCCACTCATGGAGGAAGAAAGGCGTCCCTGGAGAGTCGGTGCCGGAGCCCCCAGAAGTCGCCCGGGATCTCGGAGCGCCTGCTGCGGTCCCTGAAAATCCCCAACGCGCTCGCCAGCGCCCGGGACTTCAGGCTGGAGGAGGAGGAGGAGGAGGCGGCGGCGCTGGCCGTGGCGGTGACTGTGTTTGGGGCGGAGGGGGGCGGACCTGCGATCTAGAAAGCCCGGCGCCGGAGCGCAGGGTCCTGCTGAGGAATGCGGGAAAAGTGGCCAGAAGCGCAAGAGAGGGCGCGGGGCTCCAGGATCCCGGCAGGCGCAACCGTCTTTTTGCCTCCCGCGGGAAAAGTGTCCCCGTGCTCTCCTCCGAGGGGGTGCTCCGCAGAGAAAGTTGGTAAAGTCGGAAGACGGCGCGTGTTTTGCCTAGAGAGGCCCACCCCCTCCAACTTAAGCCTGGTATACCGGAAAAACGCGGTCGATAACCCCATAAATAGACCGTTGGTGAGAATGGACAGATTTCCTTGTTTCTACTTGGAAAGAAATCCCGTCGTGGAGCTCTTTTCCTTCGACCCAGATTCCACAGCCAACTGTTACAGCCAAGGCTGAATATGAAACATATCGGTTCCTTTTCTTTACTTAGTCTTTGATACCAGGCTTAAAATGCCAGATTTCACTGCTCTCTACTTAACGGTAGTAACTCCAATTCTCTCTATTTGGGTTTGGAAAAGAGGATCATATAGTCGTTCCTTCCTTTTTCTGCTGTATCCAACTTGACAATCAGGAAAATATGCATATTTCTAAGAATATAGACATTCTTAATAGTTTGCACTACACTAAATCAACCCTTCAGTGGTTCCATGTTATTTCTACCTGAGAGACCTCCCATCTGCTCTTCTCCAAATTAAGAAGGGTCTCTCAACGTTTTAAAACTGTCTAGCTTTGAAACTAAGATGGGGTCTGCCCATGGTGCTAGCAACCACATTGGCCTAGATGTGATATGTGGAACTTAACTAACAATAGCTTAGTAATGTGTGACTAGAAGCTGACTAGAGTATCGATCGTAGTCGAAAACCAATGTTGAAAATTAATGCACTGCAAATATCAAAGCTTTCCACAAATGATGGTGAGCATTCTGGCCATCTCTAGGGCTGTGCAGCATTTCAGAATGGAAACAGGGCACATAAATCTGTAGTACTTTATTTAAAGCAGCCACATCTTTTCCCAGGACTTGGCTGCTTTAAAAAGTTGCGGACAGATCCTTGCCTCTGCACAAAGCTCCAAAGCCTTATTAAGTACCCATTTAATTGCCATTAGTTAGCACAATAGCTACATTTTAATATACTGGTATATGCACAGTCAGAATACTGAAAGAGCAATAATTATGCATTTTTATTGTTATTTTATGCTTTAAAATATTACTGAGATTTATCTCACAGATAAAGAGGAAAAGACTTTATTTTAAAGTATGGTCTACAAATATTAAAAACAAAGAGGAGTGAGAACTTAGGCCATAATCTGTTTCCAGCATTAACTAGCCATACTGCTATGGGCAGTGTCTAGCTGAAAGGGAAAGCAGTGCCCTTAAGGCTTGGCATTCTGAATTCTACCATCTCCAAAAAGGAGAATCCCTGCATTGTTCAGTCCTTGTCCTCCAGAGATTTATCTTTTATAAAAGCCACTTAAGCCCATGGACAGTCTTGTAGCTGAGAGTTGGATGTGCTGCTTTCTATGTATGGAATCACAAACGTCATAATCAGTAAATGAAAACAATAGTTATAAATAAGCACCCAACTGTTGGCAGAGAGATGAAACTGCACATGTAATCCAGAATATCCTGGTGCAAAGGAAAAATCATCCTTGCCACAATGCTTTACGCATGTACTTTATGAAGGAAAAAAAACCCCAGAAAAACACATGGGAAAAACAGCAAATTAAGAAAAGGCATCAGAGAAAAAGAAAAGGAAGGAATGCCTCCTATTTTCCTGGGGTCAGGATCAAAATGCTCCAGTTCATGTTTTGAAACATACTTCCCTAATGACCCACCCACTTATTTACTGAAGGGTTACCACCAACTTCTTCCTCAAGAGGAACCCATCTGCCACAAGGTTCCCTCTGTGCCTCCGGTTGTGGAGGTGAGTAAATGGATGAGACTGGCCCTTACAGGGTTACTTTTACCCTACTGCCTTAGGACAAGGTGCACCTTTCTGTTACAACGGGGGACAAAAACACTAGATTCTTTTGCCTCCTCTTTGTCAAATCGCATCCTAGTGACACTTTGTTCTAACCAGCAAACCCCCTCCCCCCCAATCTGTGTAGTCAGAGGGAAGGAGGAGGGTGCCTCAGGCATCAATCATCCTACAGGGACAAATAAATGGAACCTGCCTGTTCAGGAAGCTTGGCTCCAAGTAAGAGACGCTGGAGATCCTCATGGCCTAACTATTACGTTTAATTCTGTTCAGTAACAGAAGCTGGAGATCTCCATCTTCTCTTAAGTTTTGTGAATATATATTTGGCTGGCTACATATATTTCAGCTACTGTGTGGACATTCAAACATTCCACCCGCATTCTAAAAAGACAGCGGACCCTGGTTCTACAAGTACCCTGTTTCTCCAACAATACGGCCTCCCCCAATAGGAAGTCCCAGCATGTTTTATAGGCATGAAATGAAATTAAGCCCCTCCCCCCAAATTAAGGCCTATATTAAAACATGCGAAATGGTGGGGAATGGTGGGGGGGGGGGCTTGCCGTTAGGAAGTACTTTTGTTGCACACCCGGATATGCTGCTGCCTGCGTTGACCCTGATACAAAGTGCCCCACCAACGCTGAGGTCAACATCCAAGCCGTCGCTGCCCACCCAAAGATGCAAGGGGGGGGGAATTAAGTCACCCCCGAAAAGACAGCCTAGCCATTTTTGGGGGGCTTAAAAAAAAAATAAGACCCAGCCTTATTATATGAGAAACACAGTAGTCTGAATATTTTCAGGATCGGAGGTGCTAAAACTATATGCAGGTCGCCCTTGACTTACAACCACAATTGAGCCCAAAACATTCTGTTGCTAAGCGAGATAGTCGTTCAGTGAGTTTTGCCCCATTTTCTGATCTTTCTTGCCCGGCTGTTACGGGAATCACTGCAGTTGTTAAGTGAATGTGGCATCCCCATAGATTTGTCTGGTCAGAAAAGGCATCCCGGGACACTGCAACTGTCATGAGTTGCCAAGCATCTGAAATTTGATCACATGGCCAAGGGGATGCTGCAGTGGTCGTAGGTGTGAAAAGCGGCCACAAGCCACTTTTTTTCAGTTTCGAATGGTTACTAAATGAACAATTCAAACAGTCACTAAATGAACTGTCTGTAAGTCGAGGACTATCTATTCTAGATCAGTGGTCGCCAACCAATGGGACAGGGACCACTGGTGGTCTGCAAGAAAATGTTGGTGGTCCGCAGAGAAATGTCACCCCCACAAAGACTCATTTCTAGTGGAGTTTGAGGGAGAGAAACAAAGACTTCTGCTGCTTTCCTTGCATGAAGCCAAAAGTCTCTCTCGCTCTCGCTCTCTTTCCCCCTGAGAATGGAGCTGGAGGCGGCATCCTGCGATCCCAAACAAAGAATGATCAGTCGGTAGGAAAACGGCGTGGGAAATTTTCCTGCAGACTTTTTGGGGGATTTTCCTAGGGTCTCTGCTGCTTTCTGCAGAGACCCTGGGAAAACATCAGCAAGCTGCCATCAGTCTACATTCATATTAGTAGTCCGCGGGATTTAAAATTATGAGTTTGGTGGTCCCTGAGGTCCAAAAGGTTGGTGACCCCTGTTCTAGATCAGGGGACTGGAGGCCAAATGGTATGATGAACGTGGTGGGAACTGGGTATGTCTAGTAGTCTAACAAAGAGAAGGACTAGGGGTGACAGGAGAGCAGTCTTCCAATATTTGAGGGGCTGCCACAAAGAGGAGGTGGGGAGGTCAACCTATTTTCCAAAGCACCAGAAGGCAGAACAAGAAGTAACAGATGGAAGATCATTAAAGAGAAATCCCACCCAGAATCAAAAAGAAATTTCCTGTCGATGAGAACAATTAACCCAGTGGAAAGTTGTGGGTGCTCCAACACTGGACGGTTTTCAAGAAGAGACGGGGCAACCATTCGTCTGCAATGGGTATAGGGCCGTTGATGGTGAACCTATGGCACACGTGCCAGAAGTGGCACGTAGAGTGATTTCTGCCACCATGTGAGCAGTGTGCAAGCGCCACCCACCAGCTGATTGTCAGGTAGCTGCTGCGTGGGGGGCAGAGCGCACGCGTGCGGTGTGTGGGGCTTGCACACACATGTGCAGTGGGTGTGCGGTGCAGGTGCAAGGGGTGGTGTGTGCATGCACAGGAGTGGGGGTTGCACACACAGTGCATTATGGGTGCCGGCACACGTGTGTGCGCACTTTTGGCCTGCGGGGATGAAAAGATTAGCCATCACTGGTAGAGGGGCTCCGATGTGAGCAGGGCATTGGAGTGGAAGACCTCCAAGGTGCTTTCCAAGTCTGTGACACCATTACCTTGTGCTGACTTTCAATGAAACTCACTTTTGATGCATGGGGGAAACCTGTTCCATCGATGTCTCTGCTTCTCCCTACACAGAATTATTTGCCAGCAGGACGCTGGCTGCTCTCACTTAATGCACGCTGCTGCTGCCGCTGCCGCCTGTGAACTCTTCTTCTTTTCCTAGGCAGTTAAGAAGTGCCAAGGATAGCACTTTCTGCTTAGCAACGTTTTACTCGGCTGCCCTGCAGGCATCATTTTTCCTGGCTTCTATTTCTTACTACTTTGTGCATCCAGATTGCAGGCTTGCTAACAAAAAAGGATGCAGCAACCCAACCCAGGGCTCCCATTGCTGGGATAGGCCCCATAGTCCCTCCTGCAACTCCTGCCAGAGAGAGAGTCAACCTGGGTGGGCTGGCTTAGGAGGCTTGGTGTCTCTATGCTTGGAGCCGACTTGGCCCCTGAAATGCAGGAAGCGCCCTTGGCTTGGCTTAGCTGGAGCGCATGGATGGCTGTATGCTAACGGCTTAATCTGCACCCTCTGTGGAAAAAAAGCCTCATCCCTGCAAGCTGAAGAATTGCTGATTGAGATTCCTCCTCAACCAGGATTTCTCAAGCCTCATAAAAGGAGAATGCAGGGCGGGGTGTGAGAATAATGCGGGTTCCAGGTCTAAAGCAATAATTGGTGAAACTTCCTGAGGCTGATGGGAAGGGGTGGCAGAAGGAAACGGGGCAGCAGAGCGGATCAGAGGGGACTCTTTCTGAGCTCTCCAAATTCTTCATGCCTGTCGATCAGACATCCCTTATCTAACACGATCTATGTTAGGGTTTATCTAACCTTAAACTCAGGG